AAACAATTTTTTTATCTTATTTTTTGAAATCATCTTCCCAATTAAGTCGTCCAAAAAAAACCCCACAGGTGTCTGTGGCCCTCGTAGAACAATAACAGTAAAGACCAGTCATTTCATTCAGACCAAACACAATGATTAGTTAGTGCACATGAGTGGAGTCTTCAGCCAGGGAGACAAACACCAGCTTCTAGCAGTTGTCAGTCAGTGCACATTCATGTGTTCTAGGGGCAAAGCTTTGATGAGAGGGCCAATGGGTTGGGGTGGGATGTATCAGCTGCATTTTTTTCAAAGTGCCTGCTCTTGTTAGCTTTATCAGGATTACCAATCCCAGCTTTAAAGACATTTCTAATGTGTGTTAAAGCCTAATCAAAATTGTGGCTTTTGCAAAGTGAAAATGATGCATCTGTCAGGCCCAGTCTGGACATGACATTAGTTACAACAGGACACGAGCACAACAGGTAGATGATATGTTGCACATGAACTTCAAGTGGACACCTGAAAACCACTGCATTCTATGCTAGTACCCAACATTTAAAACTAAAACAAACATGCAGGCTAGGACTTGGGACATTGGGGGACACCATAGATCATTCTCATGGCAGACATTTTGACATGTCAAAACAGATTTTGGTTTTCAAAACGTGAAGCAATGTCAGTCATTGCATCAAATCTGCACCATTTTATATACATGATTGTGATTAGTCTGACCTGTCTTAGGGTAGATGGAGATCTCTCTGAACGTAATGAGCTTGCTGAATCGTCTGGTTTGTGAAATGCGTCTATTTAGATCGACTCCCTGTACATCAGCTACCATGATGTCTAGTTTAGTAGCTGGGAGAGCACCTTCACCTGCACCACAGAGGATCAGTCAGCGCAGGTGAGAGATGTTAGCTGATTGATCCTCATGCTTGAAAAGGCAGCAGCGGAGCTGCCTCAGGGGGAACACACTGGGGAAGAGACTGGGCAAAGCTTGAGGTCCAGCAGAAAGTGCTGGACCCTTTAAGTTAAGTGTTTGGTGACTTGTGTTAAAGTCTAAATAAAGATGTTGCTGAGCAACAAATGGTGTGACTGGTTCGTCTCTGGCTGTCGTGGTGAGAGCCCCGTGGGATGGTCTACTGCCACAGTAGCTTTTACTGATCTCCTGCAGATAAGTCTAACTCTATCCTGAAACCAGAGTGCTCATGGAAGTAATTTGAACTTTCAAAAGATTCTGGAAACAATATTACGACAAAAATAGTTCTAAAATCTATAAGACCAAACAATGGCTGTTATTGTGTCAATTTTAGAAGCTCAGTGTGATGCAGCTAATCCTCATCTAACAGCCTAGTCTCATCATTAAAACATTGTAGAATCATCCATCGAAGTTCAGCACAACTCCCACATCAATTCAAGGTTGCAGTGTGTGATTCAGTTGGCTGAGACAGAAGTTGGCTACTTGCTTTATCACATCAAAGACCTGTATCAGACCCCCCATAAGGATCTTCACAGTTTGACTTCCTACCTCTCAAATGATACTTCATGTGTATTGGTGCTTCATCTTGCGGTGTATTGTACCATTACAGTATAGACTCTAACAAACACAAAGATACAAAGATGCACGCAATTCCTGACTTGCTAAATTCTACTAAACTCCACATGGAACACAGCCTAGTGCATAGCTGTTTTGTAACTGACAGGAGGATATGTAGTATACAAGTCTTAGTCATTTCATTAATTAAATTTTTGCTAAATACCAGTTTCTGCAGGTTTCAACAAGTTAAATTTAAAGCTTTTTAAAACCCTTCTAAGACCATTATGAATGAAATTCAAGACCTATTTTAAGTGCGACAAATATTAAGAGCTCAGCAGCTCTTGAAAACCCTGTTAACAGGCAGACTGAGTCAGTAGCTTCCTTTAAATCAAAGCTTAAAATGTACTTCAATTGTACTGCATTCCCTGATTTTACCTTATTCTAGTTTTTATTATTGTGTTGTGAGGTCAGTCCACGTGTTTACATCTGTTATTTCAATGTAACATTTCTGTCCCACACTGAAATCATTTTAACATGAGCGGGAACTTTTTTCAAACTTAAATGAGATAAAGGGAGTAATGAGGTAAATAGTGAATCAATCAAATTTAAATTTGCTACTGGATTAAAATAAGATATTATGCTAGGTTTAAAAGAAATGGCATGGTCATTTTGCTTTTAGGGGGGTCCTGAACACACTTGATGAAGGGGTGTGAAATGGGACAACACTACCCCTTCACGGCCACACAAAAAACGAAGGGGTAGGGCCAAGTGATAGGGCTAAGGGATGAATTGGGTCAGGGCTGAGTGTAGGCTTATAATGTTTTTATTCTTAACATGTTTATTATATCTAAGAACGATATGTTTTTTAATGAGTAAAAGTACCATACAATGTATTAGACAGGTCAAATCTTTGAATATGTAATACTTCGCAAATAATATTAATTCTTACACATATTGTTAGTGTTATAGTAAATGATGTGTGTACTGGTGTGCGTTCACAAGGGCATGGTGTTGATTTATGAGCGCTTGTGTGATTCTGAAAGCAGAGGAGCTAGAGTGGCCCATCCCTTCCCAAAAGACTAAACAACAACTGTTCGCCAACTGTGCTGAAACAGAAATGAGCACGCTTCTTTTCTTACTAATGAGCAGAGCAGAGTGACAGATTAAACTGCAAAGGCCCACCCTAGAGTGGAACTATTTTTGCTTTCCTCAAATGTCACTAGGTACTAATGCTGCACCAATATTTTGACTTCAAAAGAGCACGTCATGATTTTTACTCAAACGCTTTTACAATAAAGACTAAAAGAAACATAATCTATTAACTAAGAGAAAAAAAGGCAAGTGCCAAAAATATGAATCTATTTCTGAGTGTTGAGAGCAGATATTGATGCTACAGCTGCTTCTAGTCAAACATCATCTGTGACTGATGTACAGCATACGGCACAGATGACATGTGCCATTTCTTTCGAATTAGTTAACATTCAGTCATCTTCGTTGCCCCGACAGAATAAGGTTAGGAAGGAGGGAAAGGAATAGGTTTTACTCTGGCATTTCTGACACCTTTATCAGACAATAAAAGATGGAAAGTGACACATTACATGAGGAGAGAGCGAGGTGGAAAATGTGCAATAAAGATGTCAGTGTGGCTTTGAACCCAGGATGACGTTTTGTACCTAACAAAACCTAGTGAAATTGTAAAACCATCAAAATTAAATAATTAAACACTTCCCTGATGCATCATTGATTTAGAACTATTTTCATCTAACAAAATCTGGCATGATCAGTGCTGGTTCCCAATAAAGGTCAGTGCTGGTAACTAATAATTCGTAACCCAAGGAACCACACAGCAATCAAATACAAGAATTATCGCATATGTATGCCTCCACCAAGCAGTGCATTTTCTGTGTACATATTTCTACATGCTTTTTTTCCCCAGATTCATACTAGGCCACTGTGACCTTTGACCACTGAAACGTAATCACTTTAAGTCACAAAATAAATTCCCACAGGCAGTCTTGAGATATCATATTCAAGAGGCCAAAGAATATTTTTTGAGGCCAGCGTAAATTGACTTTTGACCACTGAAATCAAATCAGTTAATCAGTAGCTGCATTCAGACATGCCCTGGAGTTCCTCCATATTTTCTCAATCGTGAACCTCAATTGTGTGAACGCAAATGTCAGAATGAAACGCTCGGCAGTTTCTACAGACTTTATCAACCTGGCCTCCTAGAATAAAGTCCATAGAAATCCAGGAGAAGTTGATGTGAAAAAAGGGGTGTTATACACATAGAAGACATAGACAAAGATTTTGTGGTGCATGATCAGAGCTTAAATGGTGTCCGGCTGCTGTTAACAAATCAAGTGATCTATGCAGCAGATTTAATGTGTCACTTTCTGCCTCTGTCTGTTGTTCCACCTCTCGATTCGTTGCTGTTGTGAAAGCGCCTGCGCAGAGAACCTCCCGCTATGTGAAAGAAAAGTAAAGGCAGGTAAACTCTGTAGCCAATTCTCTGGATTTTACCCAGAGGTCATGTCTGAAAATAGCTAGTGAGTCCAAGTGAATTGTACCAGATGTAATGAAAGTCCCTATGGGCAGTCCTAAGATATCACATTCACAGGGAATTGAGGTCGCTGTGTCCTTGACCTTTGAATTCCAGGCACCAAAATCTAATCAGGTCATCATGGAGGTCAAGTAAACATTTAGACCAAATTTGGAAACATTCCCTTAAGATGATGTAAAGATCACAAAAAACATACATTGCGAGGCCATCATGACCTTGACCAATGACCACCAAAATCTAATCAGTTCATCCTTGATTCCAAGTGAATATTTACACCAAAATTTGAAGTAATTCCCACAAGGCATTCTTGAGATATTGCATTCACAAGAATCGGACGGATAGGCGGACAACACAAAAACATAATGCCTCCAGCCACTGGCTGTCGCCTGCAAAGAGGCATACAAAAATTGAGGAAATTTGGTTCCATGTTAACAGAAACAAGACCCTGTCCTTAACAACAGCTTAAACACCACTTTCACTTTTAGCCAATTACTGCTTCTTCGAGATAATGTGGAAAGAAGTCTGAGGCAGAATTTAAAATGACCTTTTGGGAGAATGTGCATTTACTACAGAAGTTTTGTGCTGACAGAGACCATTTTAATTTAACAAAAATGCTCAGGCAACATCCCCCTTTTTGAACCACCAACTGAGTAGCTCCAGGCTAAAAAAAATATCTAATAATATGACAGATGATAATCATCTGCTTTCAAGGACTTAGAAAAAACTGCTTGTGGTCATTGATTAAAATTGGTCTAGGAGGGGCTACCATTGTGTAAAATAAATCATTAACTATTTAAATTCCAGTTGTGTGTGGTATGTGAAAAGAACATTTGGGAGCTTTTGCTGCTGTTGGCTGTTTCAATACACTGCTATAGGAATGAGGAAAGGAGGGCGATACAGAGCATACTGAGCAAATCAGTCACTTACCCATCACTTTAACGAAGTAGGCGTCAGCTTCAAAATTGTTCTTTAAAGCGTGGACGATCAAGTCATTTTTGCCCGTTGTCTGGCTCAGAACCAGCATGTCTAATATACCCTGCAAATGAAGACAGGCATATAGATAAGGGACAATGAGAGCATGGAGTGTGTGTGTGTGTGTGTGTGTGTGTCTCTCTCTTCTGATGTACATTTTTATCCCTCTAACACCCTGGGTGACTGATCCAGCATTATCTTATCATCTCTACTCTTCCTCTTTTCTCTTCTCCTCACCACATCTCTCTCTCTCTCCCATCCAAAACCTTTGTCTTCAGGGTGAGAGAGAGATGAAAAGAGAGAGAGTTGAATTCAACAGACAGACCACATAAGCAGTAATAATTAATTCTGATAAGACGAGCACATACACAGATTGCCATAAAGCTACTGCACGATATGCATTGGAATCTGGGAGCAGAGCCTGGGAAACACAAAGGGAGGATTTTGACAACTGCACGTATGCAAAGTAGTTAATATGTGCAATGAGTCTATGCATGTCTTCTTTTCTATGTACTGTACCTCTGCAAGACTGTATTATTAGGCATCTTTAAACTTGCTGTGTGGTGCATTGTAAAAACAAAAAACTTCATTGTCACTATAGATTGGAACCGAGGAAGAAATACAAGAAAAGAGAATCTAAGTAGATAATAACAGCGTGTACGCAGGGTGTGAAAAAAACAGCAGCAGAGCAGACAAAGAAGATAAATAAGTTCTTTGTCTCTTGAAAACCATTGCTGGCAAAGATGGAGTAAAGTCGGCTTACACACAATCTGCTGTGCCTGCTTTTGACTGCATTACTGATCACAAACAAGCACTAAACTGAACATGACACTGTCCCATCCAGCATGAAAGGAAATAATTATAAACTTAGAATCAGTTGAGAAAGAAGCTTCACACATAATCCACTTTTCTGCATAAGAGGAATCAAGTCTTGTTTGCAAAGTTAGGTTTAATCAGCCATTTGGCATCAACGTATAACATTGTAGAAAAAAAGAGATGCCATTTTAGCTGCATATCTGACACCACTATCCAAGGCGCTACTGAGAGAGGCGGACACTTAAAAGAGAAGTGGAAAGAGACAGAATTGAGAGAGAAAATGGTGTGATGCATGTATAGGGCTGTCACTTTTTCCAAAAACTACTTCTGACGGTGTGACAACTTCTGTCTATTTTGACATTGAAGGTTGAATATGAGCTTTTCCCTCTGCACATTCTGAATAAAAGGTGACAGCTAGTGTACATTATGACCAAAGCAAACCCCAGATTATATGGAGTCATTAGAAATTACTCACATCCTCGTAGATGTCAAAGAATGTTGCCATTATGGCATTTTGGATGGCTCCCAAATCTGATTGGTCCCAGTGGATGTGAAACATTCGTCCCACACTGTGGCAGCTGACGTTGTTACAGGGCACGTTCTCCAACAGGAAGGCCTGCTGACCACTGGGAGAGAGAGAGAGAGAGAGAGAGAGAGAGAGAGAGAGAGAGAGAGAGGGAGGGAGAGATAAATTGCAGGTTATCATTTGCTTCTTTGATGCCGACAACACTTTCTCAAATGCAGCATGTTTATATCATCATCAGCCAATCAGAATGACAGTTTCTCAGGAGAATCATGCCCAGTGACACAGAGTGTGTTGATAACTATAAACTGGAAACTCTCTCTCTCACGCTTCATTCCATTTCTTCTTTCAGTCTGATGTAGCCGTATGGTTTTAGATCACAAAGACGTGTCTCTGAACTTTAAATGTTGACCTGGAATTTACTTTGGCTTTTTCCTGAAAATCAGCGTGGGAACAACTTAGTATATCCATACCTCCACCCGCTCTGTGAAGCACTGTAGCTCTAACCAAGTGTGGCCTCCAATGATGTCAGGTGTACTTTACTCAATTTACTCAACTATAACCTCAACACATGAACTAAAATATGCACATTTAAAATAATGCACATATAAATTGATTTATTGATGCATTTTTCTTTTCTTATTTTTTTCTTATCTTCAAGAGCATGGACTTACTCATTTCACTTTCAGATTTTGTAATGCTCTCACAGAAAACCCTGCACTAAAATGTAAGTCTGAGCATAAAATCAATAAGTCCTGCTCTCAAAGACCATGCTCTTGAATAATATATTGACAATAATATAGATAGGTAAAAAAAAACAGTTTTTCAGTTTGCTGTGACCACACCCAGATTAATTTATTCAAGATAAAATAAAACTCTGCCTGTACTTTGTGCTTAGTCTTTGTCACAATGTCTCCTTAAATCTGTGAGGAAATTGAATTCCCCTTTTTTTTTCTTTCTGTGTCTTTCTAGCCCTGTGTACCTGTTCGTAGATCTCTGTGGAAGTGGCGACCTGAAAAAAAAAGAGCCGGACTAAAAATAGAATAACCATGAAAACCCTCCCTCTCCCAGGATTTTAAATTACCCCTCCCCCCTTACTCTGTCTTAGGAGTGGAGGTGAAGGCCGACCTCAAGCTATGAGCCTGATGGGACTTCTGCCATCCAGGATGCCTTAAGAAGTTGAAAGACGCGGTGTTGGGAAAAACATAAAATCTGCCTTCCTTGCAGTAAAATCTGTCACTTGGACAGAAAGAGGTGGAAGATACGGGATGAAAAAAGAAAAGTGCTTCTTGATAAAAGGTGGATTGATTGATTACTGTCACTAATAGTATGCTGTCATATACATCTTGAAACTGGGCAAAATGCTAATTTATTGACAGTTCAAACTCACACACACACACGCTCAGTGCACAGTATGGGGCAGATATCAGGGTAATAAATGGTGACGTTACACAAAAGCTGGCTTCAATCAAGCGATACAAGTGGTCATATAATAGGTGCTTGAAAGTGTTTTATAAGCCTCTCCAGTGCTCTCAGCTTGGCTTTAGGAAAATGGTTGCTAAGTGAACAAACAGTGACACAGTGCAGTTATCTTTTTTAATCATAACCATTTTTTCCATGAAGTATCTAATGGCTGCTTTGATTGCTGTCTTTCATATTCATAGTATTTTGGTGGCACTGGATGGTTTGACAAAAAGACCCACATCAACCTGTGTGGGTGAGCACTGGGTTTCTCTCAATATCGTTTTTATCATGCAAATTTAAAAAAAATGCACATTATTGCGATCTGTCACAGAAACAGTAGCCTGGGCATTACTAAAATATATGTCTGATTCAGGCTGCATAGCAATAAAATTATGTTAAATGGACAGTAATAACATTGCACTTTTCAATGTTATCAACCACTGAAAGCTGTTTAGAGTAAAAGTCTGTTTCACCCATTCACACATACAGGATTTCTACATGCTGCACTATTTTCCCCATCACCCAGCATTCATACAATGTCAGCATAGCCATTAGGGGTTATTTGTGGTTCAGTATCTTGCCCAAGGACACTTCGGTATGCAGACTGGAGGTACTGGGGATCAAATGGTTGGTAGACGACCTGCTCTACCTCCTGAGCCACAGCCGCTCTTGGATCCCTTTACTCTCAACGTCAGTGTTTTTTCACAGAAGATGAATATATATCGCTGCATCCAACTAATGGAAACAAATTCGCTCTCTTAAATTTTTCCCTGACATCAGCGTCAACAGCAGACCTTGAAATATGAGGAATAAGTGCAATAATCTGGTTATTGTACGGTCAGCCAGAAATGCAGCAATACTAAAGTTATCGGGTGAGGCCTCTACTCAGCTTCCAATAATAATAACATCTGTATTTAAAATAGGCAATGTGCAGCAAAGTGCAGAAATGTAATTAATTTTTAAAGTGGACCCATAATGCTCCAGGCGCACAGATTGAAATAGTGTCAGTTGAGATGACAGGTTTCTGTGCAGGATGTCTGCATCGTTGTGCGTGGGGTGAGGAGGCAAGGAGTGGGGATGGGGCTTGTGCCGGTTTAACTTTGGCTGTGATTACACGTTTATTAGCTGGGGGATTGGTTAAAGGTCGTTCTGTGTAATCCATCAATACTGGGCCTTCACTAGAGCCCCCCTCTCTACTCAAACAGCATAACTTTAACAGAGAATGTGGCTGGTTGTCACTGAGGACCCGCAGGACCTCCAACTCTTTCTCAGGGACACCGTGTGTGTGTGTGTAAAAAAGAAATCTAACATTCAAAGTTTCAGGCTGATCTTTAGACAGCATTTGATTGTTATTCACTGATGTGTTTGTGTCCTTTCTGAGATTTTTGTACTTCAAAACAACCTCTTCCCAGCACTGCAGGGGAGGTGATAGTGGAGATGAACTCAGGATTATAAGGTGGATCACACACACACACACACACACACACACACACACACACACACACACACACTATAGAAACATTTCTTTCCTGACCACAGCTGAATGAAAGCACCATTACCATATAAAACATGACATTTGAACCATTTAGAAAATATCACAAATCCAGCCAAACTCTGCTAAATTAATAATTATGATCTGACATGATCTTTTCAAGATAAACCTAACAAAATGAACAAATGCAAGAATACTATGAGAAGCCTGCTGCTCAGTCAAGTTCAAACCCCCCATTTTGAAACAGATTAGATAGATGACAGATACAGCTTCATCAGCTGTAATCATTCCTTGTCTTCATACTGACTATCAAGAACTCTCTTCTGAGTGTGCTTCAAACAAAGTTTAATCATCCTGATTTCAGGTCCACTTCAGCCGCCCCGACGATCATGGGGGGTGGGGGGGCGTTACCGATTTGTGGCTGATCAGAACAGATTATCTGACCAAATCATCCTCTGATGTGACGGACTTAAAAACATATCAAACGTGATTGATATTTGCAATTCGAGATCTAATGGTGCCGTATGAAAAGAACAGCAATTGGTTGAGTGAGCAGAAATAGTCTAGAGTCAAGAACCGGATGTTGTGTTCTTATGTTAACAACCGAGACATGGCTGCCTACAATGTAAATAAGATGTTTGGTGGACCGTAGAAAAGCGGGATAAACTTGTGAAATTGACAACAGTATGAGTGCATGTTTAATGTATCAGGCAAGATGTAAACATTACTCCAAAAAGTTTTACCAAACGATGCTGGCAGTCCATCTCCATGTCTGTTTATATTCTGAAGTCATGTTTGATCACGTGAATTGCTGTGAGTTCCAAAGTCTCCATTCACAAATCTTTTGTTTAAACAGCAAGTGTGTGGTCCTGCGTCTTGACTGGATCGTCTAGTGTGTACATCAGCTTACATCTGTTGTGTCTGTGGCCTCCCAATCTGCAGTCGCGTTTACGTCAATACAACTAACAATCATTGAGACATTGCATTCCATACCTTGATAGTGGCACTAAAGGACACATCACAGTATCACAGACGTCATTCGGATCCATCCTCAGGGCACCAGGAATTTATGTACTAAATTTTGCCTACAGGTCAACAAAACAACTAATGGACATTGCCATCCCTGGAGCCACAGCACTCAGAATCTTGATGAAGAATGACAGACACTTCTCACTTTTCACTAAAATGTTACTTATAAAGTGCAAGAGAATGACTAAATCTGAGCTACAGTCATAACAAGGCCTTTACAGCACTTACAGTCTAGCACTAATGTCTCTGTATGCCTGGGGGGCTCCATTATTGTATGAACCTGGTGTCAGTGCTGGTGTGTGTGTGTGTGTGTGTGTGTGTGTGTGTGTGTATGCATGCCTGGGGGGAGTCTTCCAGTGCTGCTAGCTCTATCTGCCTTACTTCTAATTGGCCTCCAGAGGGGCATGGGGATGGCAGGATGCTGACCAGCTGATCACACAGATGAACCTTCTCTCCCCCAACTTAAATGCTTCAAAAGGCCACTGTTACCTGTCCACCTTCAATATTCACTAGCCATCTATCCATCCATCCATTCATTCATCTATCCATCCATCTAGCTCAAGCTGAGCTATATTAACCTGGCCACCTCCTTCTGTTCCTTTCTAATTTTCTCTCATCCTCTTAATTACAATTGTACTACCCCTCCACCCATCCATCCATCCACCTATCTATCCATATGCCTTTCTTCCAGACTTCAAAACAAAACCCCAAGGACTCTCTTAAAATGCTCTCAAGTTGTGTGTTTTTTTCACAGAGCGTGGGATGGGAGCATTTGATAGGAAGCAACACAGCGGTGCACTCCTCTCTACTTTCCTTGACACTTCCAACCTTTAGTTAAAGCTCTCTGCTATCCTCCTCCACCTTTGAAACCCTCTGTCTGATAATGAGAATGTCTTTCAAGTTAGTGTAGTGTGAACAGAAAGCACGTCCCTTTCCACTGTCCACATCCATCTAAGTGGCAAGCAGAGTAGAACAGGCCTGCAGTCATAAGACTCACAAGTAATTCATGACTGTAATAAAAAATAAATAAAAGATATACAGTAAATATGACATTAATACAATTTGAATAAACAGTCAAACAGCACATCTGTGCAGTAGTGGGGGAGGAGTGGTGAGCC